GCGATGACTCAGAACGGTCGGTTGGTCTGGGCAGGACCAGTGACCAGCATTTGGTTGTTTCCGTGAATGACATTCAAAGGAACTATTGAACAAGTGTCGAAAAGTCTCCAATGTTTGCAAGACACTCAAGAAACTCCGCAAGACTTGAGTGTCTTGACCACAAATCAAAACAAACGGGCCACTGGAAGACCAGCCCAGGCAATCTTGGAGTTTAGACTGGCTTTGGGAGGATTAGGTGATACTTAGGTGTTCATCCTTATGTTGAGGAACATGGTCTCCGGTGCGACCCAAGGCACAAGAGGCACATCTGATCAATGCCTGTCCAGCGCAGATCGGTAGATTTCGGTCGACCCAAGTTCTGAATGAAGTCATATCTACAATCCTTGCTTCACCGATGAGGTATCAACTTGTTAATTCAAGACTTCCATTCTTCACCTGATGAAGGACTAAAACCAAACCTGACTCAAAGGTATATATACATACATTGAACCTGACCTGTGACGACTTTGAGGACAGTTTGCATGAATCTCACCTCAAACACTGAAAATCAAACGGAAGCATAGCCGGACACCTCCGTGGGCTGCACCGAAACAACCCAGCTGGGTAGACCCCCGATGCTGACCCCCGGCAAATGCTGACGCGACGCGGAAAACGGCCGCTGGCGTGGCGGGGTGGTACTCATGGAGTGTCTGGGCTGGGATTCCAAGCACCATTGATTGAATAGCCTCTACCGAACTGCCTACCCATACATTATCCTGGCCTTCAAAGACTATTGACAAAATGGTTACCTGCATGGATTTTATCGTGTAATTAAATCCTTAGTAAAACAATGTGTTTTCTTTTTGTGAAGACAATGAAAACAAATGGTTATTGGAATCCTAGGTCCTAGGGGTATGGGAAAGAGCACCTTTCGATGCCTGAGGCCTCCAAGCCAAATCAAACCCAGCCCCACCGGTTGTATCGTGACTGTGTCAGCCTCCAATCTCTCCCGAGTCTTACGGATCACATGTTGTATGCCTCCAAAGCCAACAACCTCTCCTCTCAGATGTTCAATGAAGAAATATGACGAACTAAGTATACCCTAGGGCTCCAGTCGTACCTTCTAAGAAGGTGTTTGGGGTGGGTTTAGAGGGTCCAAATACCTTCTGAGGTACTTGAAGCCTTAGGGATAGTGGGTCAGTAGGTCCCTGTGGGCCCCTGGGCTCCATCGATCTACCGATAACCGGAGCGTCCAACCCAAACAGAGAACGTACACCAAACATTGGGACTCTGAAACCCGATCAGCTTCCGTTTGACCATTAAAAGAGTTTGAATTGGTTGGCCTCGTTTGGTCGTCTAAATTTATAGAATATATGGTTGTTCGGAATTCAGGCGATCAGAAAATCCTATCGTTGAAACCTGATTCAAGACCTGCCAGTGCCTTCCACTGCATCGAAGAAATCACCCAGAAAGGGTCTGGAGTCTGGAGTGTCCCCAGGCGAAAAGACTCCCCAAGAGAGCCGAAGGTGAGAAGACCTCACTATCCCCAACAATCCACATCCATTTACACATTGACCCCGGGTCAACCACCCCTCCAAAATATTCCATACATGGAGAGCAATGTGAAGCTTCCAGCTTCCACATTCTAGATGTTCGGCCATCAGCTTCCGTCCCTCCGACGCCCCAACTGACCAACTGACCTTTGTTTGCCTATCCCATCTGCGTAACCTTTGTAAAACCGTGAGCCCCGGACTTGGATGGAAACAGGTGTAGACGTTCTGACCTTCTGCAACCTCAGAGACAGACATCTGTTAAACATGCTCTGCACAAACACCTTGCAATCATCCTGGCAAACCTTGAAATCATCTTGCCAATGTCATGCGCTTGCAACCACCAGCGCAATGGTCCTCTTTTTTGTTTTCACAGTCTTTAACAGATCCTCATCTTGAACAGATCCCCGCATTTAAGAAGCTTGTGGTACACCGCACTCCACTCCACCAGCATGACTGGCCTGCAGGATGTTCCACTCCTCCATCGCAGAGTAGATATCTTTGCTATCAAAAAAGTGGGCGCTGAACATATCCACCGCCAGCTCTAGACCGCAGGAGACCTCTGCATTGGCCGCGCCGCCGAGATCGACGAGATCACCATCGTCTCTGGGCCAAAAGACTTTTTGTTTGGTCGAAAAGGGTGTACTGCGGCCGCGGTTTTTGTGGCTTCTTCCGCTTCCGGTGGCGCTTGGAAATTAGGGGCCAGCAAGGCTTGGATGAACGACAGGACCGACCAAAACATGCATGGAAAAGATCAACTATTTCTATGTGGTGCACGAAAGACCTTGTCCATCAAGCAGCTGAATGACTCCCCACCAACCCGCAGCTATCATAGCTATGTGTCCGGTTCACAACAACCTCCGTTCCTGTGACGTGTTCGTCGGGCGGAACCCACCACGTGTTCAGCTCGAACCCTCAACAAGGACGTCCCGATGGATCCGTTCGACACATCGAGCTGCAGGTGCCAGGGTCCAGGAGGGTCCCTTCGTTTCGGTTTGGGGACGTTGAAGCACTTCAGCTCAGCAATTCAGCGCAGGATCACGAAGGCGAGGCGGCCGTTGAAGCAGGTGCAAGCTACGTATCCGATGCAATGGCCGAAAGAGAAAAAAACGGTTGATGTCATCCCCACTACCAATTGCACCCAAGGGGTTCAGGTGAAATTTTTCACCTCAGACCTCTTTAGGTGAGACTTCCTGGGGTCCCAGCAGTGGGACCCTCCGGTAAAAAGAACACCATCCAGCTCCCCCCTTCCCGACATTTCGGTACACGTTTTCTCTAACGCCAAAAGGATAGGGGTGAAGTCTTCATGGCAATGTATTCACATCCCTTCACGTCCCTTCACCTTTGTTTTACCCTTCCAATTCGGTCGTAGGTGCATGAAGCTGCACATAGAAGACTCCCATCACGCCCAGTGAGGCTGCAGCATAGCTGCCCACCGAGACCAAGTCCTGGACCCGACCGATCTCCGAACCGATCTGAACCGATCTGAAGAACTGAATCTGCAAACCCCTGGCAAACTGTTGGTCTCACCCTAAAGACCTTTGCAGAAGTCGTTCACCCTACAGAAGTCGGTCTCCAATTCTGGTCTCCAATCCTGGTATCCAAACTTTGCACATAGCTTCTTGGATTTGGTTTCGGTCGTAGGGAACGACTTCTGCAAATATTTGCATGCCAACAGACAGACAGGCTGATGCATATCACAAAGGATATCTTAACCAAAAAGGACATACTGACATACTGTACAGTATATGGAAACATATGGAAACTGATATCACCTGACCAGTTGACAGCACGTCTCAGTGGTCCCAACATCAAAACACTGTTGGATGGGGGATGCATTTGGGTGTGTATTATAGGAAGACCATGGGAGACCTCCCACCTACTTTCGCTGCGGGAAATCGAGGACCCAAACCAGCCGCTCTTCCAACATGGCTGCCATGTCCTTCCGCGAGAAGGAAGATAGGGGTGCCACATTCACCTCAACTCACCTCCAGGGTGAGTTGACTAAAGCCACCCAACTCCGTGTTTGAAAACCTCACTGTCCGGTGTCTGACGGGTCCTGCGCAAGGTCGCCGGGTAAGAGGCCGGTCTCCGGGCGCCCGAAGTAGCCGGAGAGACTCCTCGCCACGACGGACGGAGGAGCCGGTCCCGGACTGGATCGAATAGGTACGGGGTGTCAAGCGACCTGGGAGGTCTCAGTTGGTAACGCGGAATAAGTGGGTACCCTACCGCATCCAAACCTACAAAATTGAGAGGGTTGATGGAAACACCTGAAAACACCAGGTTTTCCAAACCAGTGCTAAAATTACAGGCTTAGTGCGGTTGAAATAGGGGTTTCATTTTGGTTAGAAGAACAAGATCCGAGCCTTTAAGAACCAACCCGAGGTAATTATGGTTGATTTCACGCAAAGTACCCGAGGTTTCCATTGAGACCCTACAAATTTAGATAGGGTTTGGGTGCGTAGGGTACGGTATACCCGTTCCCCAGGATTCCAGCGTACCATTGATTTAATAGACTGAATCCCGAACAACCGTTTTACAAATTATTGGATTTGATTGCAAAGACTTTACACTACTCTAGGGCTCCAGTCGTACCTCCTCAGAAGGTATGTGGACCCTCTAAACCCACCCCAAAACCAAACCAAATCTTTCCCATGTTAAAAGTTAGTCGAACGGACGTCACGGCGGGCGTTCTCATGTCACGTCATCCCACCACGGGCCACTTGTCGCAAAAAAAGTCCTAACAAAACATCGAAGCCCTCTTCGCCCCGCTGCTCCGCCCAGATCCTGCCTGGAGGCCACCATCAGAGCCCAAACCGTCATCAATGCGAGAGCCCTTAAGCTTGCCAGCCATCGGGAGGACTCCAAGAAACCTCGACGCAACCGACCAAACGCGCCCAACACTGGAGGACCAGTGCTGTCCGGACAGGTCGGTGGGTTTGGGTCGCCACTGTCCCAGTGGAACATGTTGCGTTCCTCAGTTTTTGGGGGGCGACAGTGTGAGATAGGTGTGAGAAGCGGATTGTAAAGTATCGATTCTACAGTGTGGAGAAGATGCATAAATGATCTCAACTTGTTTCACCGTGAAAAAATGAATCATACAGTAGTATGTCTTTACATGATAAGTCTTGGTTTTGTTCCTGGCCGGAACCACTTGCGGGCCGCGGCAATCAGCTGGCCCGGCCTCTTTTGCAAGCATACTCGTCAAGTTGATACTCCTGCAAGCAATGAGATGCAAAAAAAACTTAAGCTTCTGGATTGTATCATCTGCACCACAGCATGGTCCGTTATGAAGTATGATTCCTCCATACGGACTAGATCGACATTTGCATTTTGAAGGATTCCATCCCCAAAGCCATGACTCTTCCTTCATCAATTCAGATGCAGCTTGCCTAGCGGCTAGGCCTAACGCTTCCTGTCTGGGTGTCCAATGATGACCTCTTTCAGCAGTGTAGGGTTGTCTATGCAGGTGACCCCAAACAGAAGCAGCTGGTACATTCAATGTCGAAATGATCTCGAAACCCCGATCTGAACCAAAGCTTCCCATCTGGCTCGAAGCTGCAAAAAACATGTCCTTTAAACGATAATCTAACTGTATCCGTTTGTTATAGCGAATGATGATACCCAACAAAGGCGGGGCGCGTATCTCTATATACAAACGTACTTCTGTAAATCCCTCGAAGGCCACAGATGCATTCTGGAACCCTGTCTGGAAGGGGGTAAATTATCTGAAATAAATAATATCCCTCAAAACACTCTGATAACGTGTCCAATACAACGCCTGTTCCCAGACTGTACAGTATGGACCGAAACGAGCCTTAGGCCCAAGCAGCACTGCTAAGGAGTCCTGACCAAGTGCTCCCGATTGCAAAAACCTGGTCTGGACCGTGCCTTCATCCTTGAACGGCCTTTAAGCAGTTTTCTTGAGGGTACAAGGCGGGTATAGGAGCGTGAGGGATGCTTCATGGGGTGGGTTGCTCCACCGCGCATTTCCGGGACAGCTCAATGCCCTGATGCGAACCCGGGCATTTTTCAGTTCGATACGGGGAGAGGCCATGTTTGACCCGGACATGCTTTCCTCTGCAACTTGTGCAACTCCTGATTTTGCCTGTGACACGTCACAATTGGCGCCTGCTCAGACGCTTGTTTGTACCCTGGACCATCCTGTCTGGGTGTCCTGGATGGAGATCTCTAAGCAATGGAAAAACAGGACGGTATGTTTGAAGTGTTGAATATCTGCACATTGCAAAAAGTCTCCACAACTGGCCAATCGCTCTGTTTCGTCCCGTCAGCACAAACCTATCCCCCAAGTTCCGCTCGTCAAGCTTTCCTTATCACAAGGGACATCGCTCATGCCAAGCAAAAATAATTCTTGTATCAATCAATGGAGTCCTTTGTCCAGTGCGTTTGGATGGTGAGCCAGAACATGCCAGAACGTTCTCACTCCAACAACTTCCAAAAACCGAGCCCACCAGGCCGTCATTCCAACATCTTTCGATAAAAACAAACCCAAAACATCCAAAAAACACACACCTTCGATCCACCGAGACGGCGCCTGCTATCACATCGTCGGACGCGGCACACCGTCGTTGACGTGTCGTGCCTCCTCCTTCCGGCCCCAGCGGAGCAGCAGGATGCTCACGACGACGCCCATGGAGTAAGAGTTGGTGGTGAGATTCACAAACCTGCTTGCAGGGATGGCCCAATTTTGGGCACCGTTTCGGGCGTAGATGTACAAGCATTGGATACCCTGCAGGATATTCCATGCCTGGATTCACTTGAGCGAAGTCGGCAAGACAAAAGAAAAAGGTCTTGGAATCACTGGGGAAAGATGGTTTACAACTGCAATACGCTCGAAGGCTGTCATCTAGTGTCGTTGCATTGAACCTGTATCATGAAGGCCAACGTACAAAGTAGATGAGCTCACCAACCGGTTACGAACCACTTCTCATCCTGTCTGGGTGTCCGTCGGTGTTGTATGAGGAATGCAGGGTCTGTTAGTGACCCACCGGATGATACCCAGCACTCCCGCTTCGTGGGAGCTGTTCAACTGTAGCTTACCTGACAATGACAAGCAAAGTGGCCTACAATTTTCCCCGCAAGGAACAAGCAACATATCAAATTGCGATCAAATAACGATACAATCATTACCGTAGTGAAGCCACCCCGTCGATTGTGCTAGACTGCGGCCACTCACAGGTTTTTCCCCACCGGAGCGCGGCCTGTACTCGTTGCGGCTTCCCAACATGCCCAGCAACACAATGGCCAGCCCCAGTGTCTTGGCCTTGCGAGGACCAATCAAGGCCACGAGGACCGGAGAGCCACGCCACTGGCTGTCCAGCTGGGTCTTGTGCGAAGGGCTGGAACATGCTGGAACGCAACCTTTGGTCTTTTGATGTCTTTATAAGTGGTTTAGATTGAAATCACTCCTAAACCAAAAGGACACCCGAGGACAGTCAAGATCGGGTCATGCTAAAATGAACAAGTCAGTTGGAAGTTGCTCTGGACACACGGGGTCTTTTGGTACGACTGGCCTTGTGGGGTCTGTCACGCTACCCAAGTTATACCCCTATAGGATTCCAACTATTAAATTCAATAGCCTTTATCAAACAACCATTGTTTTACTACGGAATGGTCTTCCTATATTTTCAGGACCCCTCAGCCTCAGCATCCCGAAAAGGCTGCACACTCAGGGAAAGAACCAACGCGGCACTCCACGCCATCCATGCATTCCAAGCAACAAGGCACAAATGCGCCAGGCATTTCCAGCCCCGTCCTGAGGTGTTTCACTCGCGGGTAGGGCTGCTGCGCTTGGTGCGCTGGGGTGCGCGAGTGAAACCCCTCGGGTGTCGTTTCCATCCGGTGTCGCGCCTCGGGTGCAGTGTTCATCCCGGACGTTGTCCGATGTCGACAGCAGGGTGGTGACCAAATCCTGGAAAACATGGTTTAGATAGTGGTTACAAAGGCCATGGGCACCTATAGAATGCCCCTTGGATTTGCATTTTGTAAAGGAACGAGTGGACCATTTTATAAGGGGGCTTTGTAACCCCTATTGGTTTAGATATTATAGTCATAGGTGGTTCAAACAAACAAAAACACGCGGTGTAGCATCCAATCTCCATCCAAGCTGGGTGATGTTGGTCTCGTTTGGACGTCCTGCCGGGAAGTCCTATATATCCCAGACACTCCATGGGACTGCCATATATGCTTACATTGACCCCCTGGCACCACCCCAATGTAGGCATATATGTGGCAGTCCCACGGAGTGTCTGGATAGCAATCAATAGCAATCATATCCTTTTGAGAAAGATTATATAGAGAGGGGATCGATGCCAGGTACCGCAGACCTATTGGTTCACCTCATCAAAAAGGCCATCGATGAGTCCTACGCATCCCTACCTCCCAGAATTCAGGGACACTGACGATGCAACCTCATGAAACATCCATCAACATCTACATCGTTGGGGGGATGTTTTGGAGTGAAAAAGCCGTGGTTTTCGGCCATTCGTCCCGTGACATCCACACCACAACGTCACACATTATCTGCGACCTGTGACTCGGGTCGGACCGAGACGTTTGGGAAAGCGGGTCAAAACATGGTCCATACCCTCCAGCGTGGAGGGTCCAGTTGGGGTTGACCTACATTGACCCCCCTTTTCACAACTGCCCATGTACGCCATGGAGTGTCATGGAGTGTGGTACAGCACGGCTGTTTCCGGTTTTAGGTGTTGACTCGCGGCACCGTCGTGTTCAATTTCCCTCGATGTTTTTTCCATGAGTTGGTAAACTTGCACTCTATGGCGGGCCACTTTCAAAGCCTCACCGACAAATCACCAACTACTCAAAAGGTCCAAACCAGGTTACCTTGGATGATCTACCTGGGTGGTCAAGCTACATGGTGTTGGGGCTGCAGGTTTTGACCCATCCCCCAATCTCTCTCTCTCCCTCTCCACGGGTCTACGGGTTCGTCGGCTCTGTCATTCAGAAGCATCAGCCCTCAACTAAAAGCTTTGAGGACTGCTGTATCATTCATAGTCATATCGACCCAAAAAGATCCAAACGAGTCTGAACCAAACCAATTGAAATAGGCCGGAAATGGCCGGAAGGTGGCTAAAAGCTCGCATGTCCCTGTCCTCTGCGACGCGCTCCACGGGACCAGCCTGCTCTGAAATCTAAAACTCCAGTGATGGACAACACAAATCTCACCAAGCCTGATTTCGGGGCGCGACGCCGATGATATTCGGCGGCGCGACGCCCATGAAGGCGATGCCGGTGGAAACGACAGGAACTCAGTTCCGGAAGCTACTTTGCGGACCATGCGCAGTTCGTTGCAGCTTGTATCCAGCACAAATGGGGGCTCACTTGGGTGGGCTGCACACCATCGTTAGTAACTACCTAGTGCAGTGGAGAAACCCTTCTGCGTTTGGGGTGCCTTGCGGGTGCTCGTCAGATCTCATCACTCCATTTCGCGACAACTTGTAGAATGCTGTATAAACTGCCCTAGAGTGGTCTCGCAATGATGTGCCTTCACTCCCACAGTTCCACTGGAAATTTGAAGATTAACCATGATTGACCTTTATACCGTACCAACAAAACGCTTAACGTGTCTCAACTTTTCCTGAGTAGGCCATGCTGTCGCCCGCTGTCGCCGAAACCACGCCGAAACCGACTCCGAAACCGCCGCCGGCTGCTCCGCCCATCGCACGAAAACTCGGGTGTTTTCACACCCTGGTGGCACATCGGACTGACGGGGCACCGAGAGGACCGACCTGAATAACCATCGAAAACAACAGGCATCCCCTTCTATTATAAGGCGCGCCGTTCGTCGCACCTTCTGAGAAGTGGTGTTTGGATGAATGTGGTGATACTTAATCATCTTTCGCAGGGCTCCAGTGATCTTCTCAGAAGGTCGGACCTGGGGTGGGTAGCCCGCCCTACAGATCAACACCACCAGTTCGACCTAAAAAAACAAAACCTGCTCAACGCTGGAACATGCAACAAACATTCAACCCCCCTCGTTTTTTTCCGTATCTATCACTGCCTCGAACCGAGAACGGGGCTTCTGCGCGGTTCTGGGTGCACGAGACCCTGAGCTTGCTTGCCAAGCGCTTGGATTCTTATTGAATCCACCACTCCAAACAACTCCAACTTGATATTTTCTTGAACATGTCTAGGATTTTAGAACCCACTGATCCACTTCGACCAACC